GTGTACTATTTAGGACTAGGTCAGGAATGGCCTTTCCTTTTGTAGGTTCTAGGACCAACTGCTCCATGAAGCAGTCTTTTATCACTTAAAGGAATTTGGTGTCTGCATCCTGGCCTGATGTTAGATTGACCCAGTCCATTTATAGATAGTTGAAGTCACCCATTATAACTGTGTTTTCTGCTGTTACAGCTTCTCTAGTCTCCCTTAGCATTTCTAGCTCACTGCTGCCTTCCTTGTCTGGAGGTTGATAGTACATTCCCAGACTTACTTTTTCTATTTAAGCCTAGAATTTCTGTCCATAGAGATTCTATGCTACCTCTCTTTTCAGCTGAAAAATCTACCCTTTTTGATTTGATGCAGTTTTTGATGTGGATGTGCCACTCCCCCATCAGTACAACCTACTCTACCATTCCTGTATAATTTGCATTCTGGCATTACAAGTTTCCATTGATTTTTTATTTATTTATTTTTAATTCCACCATATTAATATCATTACTTACTGCTAAACATTCAAGTTCCCCCACCTTTAATCTTAGAACTTCTAGTATTAGCATAAAAACATGTATACTTTTTATTGTTGCCTGGTTGGCTTCTGTGTGACCTTTTAAAAGTATTATGGATTATTTTATTTGCTTTGAGAAGCTTCCCCACCCCCACAATTGTACAGGCATTTCAGGTTCAAAATTTGACCTCAGATGCACATAGGAAATTGTAGACTTCCCTGTTGGTTTATTTAAGGAGCACATCCCTTACCCTCTTTTAGCCCAGGAGTCTTCCATTCTAGTCTCTTCAGCTTCCCCTTTCTCAGCATCCTAATTCCTTCTTCCCACTCTTATTTCCCCTTCTGTGTTGTGTTTGGTTTTCTCATGTGCAAAATTTAACAGGTGCTGACCTCTCAATGTGGAACGTATGTAGACTGACTTAAATCTGGAATATTTTAGTGCAGAACATCATTTAAAATTATGCAAAAATAGAGTTTTATGGGTTCTTTTTGCTGCTTTTTCAATTATGCCTTTTAAGCATTTACACGCTAGGCAAAAGTTGTGTTTGGCAGTTCATTTTTTGTGACTTGTTTCTCATGACATATTCCTTTCTTATGACAGGTTGCTGAATGCAATAAAGCCTGGACTGGTAAAAAAGATCAATAGACTGCCGACCCCTATTGCAGGCTTGGTGAGTATTTTAGAGATTAATCTTCCTGTATTTCTTCTGACATCCTAATCTCATGACAGCAGTAATTTTAATTTTGTAATGTAGTCTAAAGAAATTTGAATTCTTCTATCATGCTAAATTTGGACACTCCTACTGAAATGTAAAGTGTAAGTGCAGCCTCCTGGAGGCATTCCAATGTCTGCTTCTTCCCTGGCAGTAGAAGCAAGTCTTCGGTTGTATATCTTTCAGAGGAAGGTGCTGATCCTGAAGGATGTGTTCTGGAGTCCTGCTCCTCATTTTAATAAGTGGCATTCTGAATGCAATTTCTTTGAAGTGATACTTGGTGCTATTACACTGTTTAATCCATTGGTGGGCAAATCTTTTTGGCAGGCATGTCACAAGTTAAACTCTGTTACCTCCCTTTGTGCTTCTTCAATGATCTGTTGCTCTTCTTTCTCCTTCCTGCCTTAACCTGTCACTGTTCTCCATGCTGGACCTGCCACAACCCACACAAAGTGCACCTGCCACTTGTAGTACATGTGCCATGGATTGCTCACCCTGGTTTAAACACTTTAAAAACAACATACAACTTAGTCCTCCTGCCTCATTTAACACTCATCAACTTCTCTTTAAAGCAATAGAATGGCTTTTTGTAAAGAGGAAGTTACATTTTCATATCATGTATTTTATCTGCTGTTATCTCAGTATACTAAAACCAGCCGATAACATTCCCAGCAGGATCTAAACAGCGATTTCAACTGGACTTAGAGAGTAAAAGTTGCCAGTCATCAACAGAAACCTCTTAAGAAACCCTTGCATTTTGACTCGCAGTTAAAGCTGTTCTGCCATTTATAAAACTTTACAAGTCTTGAGAAAACAAGTGTGATGGGTAGTTAAAGTGCTCTGCACAGATCCAACAGAATCAGACTTTAACTCCGGTTGTCCACTTATTAAAATAAGAGTTTTTTCTTTGCAGTAGCGATACCACAGCTTATGTTTATACAATGTAGATAGTAACTTTTTCTTCCCAACTGTACCACATCATGTTCCTGGAGAAATCTTAGTCCAGAAACGACTGCCCTTCTTAGCTAGTAGACTGCTGCACCTGAGGGACATTCCTTTTTAAATTATAAGATCTTGTTGATTATATAAGCTGCAGGTGGCTGGAGATCTATATAGTACTAGGGGGAATGAACTGGAAAGAAATATATATGACTTGCCCTGGTGAATATACACGAGGAGTGGAAATGGCCTCTGGAAAGTTCATATTTTCCCCATTATTTTTACTTGATTTTTAGCTACAGATACTATAGTTCTAAAAGTGCAAACTCAAGGAAAATAGGGTAAATTAAAAAAAAAATACGTTTATCATGCATGTATTTTGTTGATGCCTTTCTACTGTTCCAGGTCATCAGTGGTCAAAATATTTCTTTGGTGGTTGCTCAAGTTTGATGAACCTTTCATGTGTTCTTCCTGTTACATGCACAATAGCTGATGCAATCCAGGGTATCCAATAGAACGCTGGGAGAAACAGATCAGTTTTTGATGCTTTTTCCCCCCACTTGGAGCAAAAGCTGAAGCATTCATGTAGTTTACTAGTTTGAATGCTTGGGAGTATTTATTTTTTGTCTAAAATAAATAGTTAGACCTAGTAAGTAAACATGAAACATACAGCTCTACAAAAGTCTTGAGGTACCTGTAATATTCTCTTTTGGTCCTGTAAGAGCAGATAATTAAATGTGTTTGTATCCAAAAGAGCTTCGTGGTGGTGACCTCAAGCCAGTCATTAGGAGGTACTTGAGCACTTCAAAATAAGTCCAGGAACTCTTGAATGACTGTACTTTTGCCCACATAAGCCTGTAGTTAGCGTTTTATAGGCTTCTCAGAAGTTACGCAGCGTCACTGGGAAGTTTTATGTGTACAAACTGAGCTCTCTTAGCTGGAAAGTTCAGTCAGTCTCAGGCTACTCTGAAATATGTCTTGTCTGCATGCACCTGCTTCTGGCATCAGAGTTCCTGTAAAGAGACGATATCTGCCTCTGCTGCACTGCCAGAGCATGTTCACATCCTTGCACTTCTCCACATGAGGGAAATCTGCAGGTACTGCAGCAGTCGATAGAAAGTGTTGGAGCATCTGCATATGCCCCTGCTGGTGACAGTAGACTGGAGGGTTGTGCCATTATAGAGAAGCTTTGGGTGATGCCAGAACAGCTGGTTGATTTCTTCATCTGGATTAACTGGGAATGACGTGATTTGTTCACAACCCTGTGGATACCTAAACAATCACCATGCTAACTGAAAGTTGTATTTCATATTGTGGAAAGAGGTAAGGACAAGGGGACCTTGTCTTAGGCCCTGTTGCACTAAGCAATGCAAAGATGATCCTTGCCCCAGTAGAAATCTCAATCTAGGATATGAACAACAGGTAAATATGCTCAAAACTACAGCATGGTTCCGATCTGCTTTCAACTCCCGGGTGGTGCTTGCTTCTGTTAATAGCTCATCAAAACTTGCACTTTGCTGTAATCAAATGGAGATAGGAACCAAAGCAGTAAATTGTTCAGACCTGTAATCAATAACCCATAATGTTTGAATGGATACCAGATTTGATGAAATACTGTATTTTTCCATTTTTTATTTTAATAGTCTGAAGATATGGCACCCATACAAAAATAATCCCATTTACAGAAAACCCCAATAATATATTGAATCAATAACAGTGACTGAATACTTCATGGAAAAAGTTGCACATTTCCAGGAGGTTATTTAAGCCAGGATCTAATATTTTGGATGTCCTTTGTTGTAGTTAATGCTGTCAGCCTTCCAGAAACTCAATTTCCATGTATTTATTTATGGAAGCTTGAGAAGGTATTTTGTCTGCTTTACTAAACAGAAGCCCAGCTGAAGATACAGAATTGTTATAATGAAACAATATTAGTTGAGAATTTGATTTTGGCGATCTTACAGAACTAGTGGTTTTTGACCGAGTTAAAGTGACTGTTTCATTTAATAGATTTCATAGACGTTAGGGCTGGAAGAGACCTCGTAAGACCATTGGGTCCAGCCCCCTGCCCAAGGGGCAGGAAGATAAGTGTCCAAATGTTTCTTGAAAGTGTCCAGAGTAGGTGCTTGCATCATCTCTGGGGGGAGTTTGTTCCAGGTCTTGGGGGCTCAGACAGTAAACAGTTATGTCTGCTTGCTATAGTTTTCATATTGGACAGTTTAAAAAAATCAGCTTGCTTTAATAGTCATTTCATTGCATCCTGTTGTACCACATTTTCATTAAATTTAAGGAAAATCAAAGCATCTCAGCACTGGTAAATGCTGATACTTCAGTGGTAACCACTGTATATTGTTTAGAATGGGCTGGTTATTTTTCTTGTACATCACTACTTGATTTTCCTTCCTGTCCCTGAATAATGTCATTCTGTGAGAAAAGAGGGGAAAAAAAGTTCCGTCTTATCTTTTGTTTGACAGGGTTTTACAGAGTTTATAGTATTACTTCAGTTCCTCACATTATCCCCACGGGAATTAGACATTTGCTTCAGAGCCTGTGTGAAAAAAAAGAGTCAAATATAATAGTAGGAAATAGCCAAGACAAAGTTGAGGGGCAGAACTTTTGTTAATGATTTGGCTAATGTTTCAACACTTAATGAAGAAAAGTCTGTGTACTGTGAGATCCAATTTCCGTCTTATGTACTAAGTATGTTTTTGTATTTATGTTCTTCAGCGATGAGAAAAACAGCACCACAAAAGTCACCTGAGATCATAGTTAACACAACAAAAGGAAGAAAACCATAACAAACTGTGTTAAAAAGAGCAGTTCCCTTGCACAGAGGCTTTTTATTAGATTATTTTCTTAGGAAGTTTATCTTGGCAAAGAAATCTTCAGGAATTTGCTAGAAACCCTGTTTCAAGTGGTAGTGCTGATCTGCTGCTCTCTGTGATTTGCTTTTAGCACTGAACTGTTTCATATATTTCTTTGTTTGTGGTTCTAAGCTGCCTCAAAGATGGAGCAAAATCATTTTGCTTTTAAGGATTTTTACTTGTTAATTTAAAGTTAAGATTTTTTCCACCAGATAAATGTTAGTTTGAATACATTGTTTATATAGTACAATATTGTTCATGAACTTGACAAGGAAAAAAAATACATAGCCAGTCAATGTGCTGAATGTTAATATAGATGTACATTGTGAAGTGATATGACAATTTTATTTATATAACTTTCAGTAAAAAAAGCTTCTCCCGTGCTCCATTTCCTTCTTTTTAATTTCTCACCTCTGATTTATGTTTTGTAACATTGCCTCATTTGTGAAAGCAGCATTTTTCTTTTTTTGTAGGCTCTAGACTCGCAGCACAGGATAGCTTTTCCATTTCTCTGTTCACGCATGGTTTATTGCTGAAGACATTATTGTTTCTGAACCAACTCGTCTCCCAGCCCAGCTCCACCTTTCTGCTTAAGTTGAGTCACTGTGGTTTTAGATGGCTATGAATTTTGCTTCTATTAAATTCCCATGTAGATTTTGGCATTCAAGTCCTCAAGCATTCCTGTGGGTGTTGATGGCAGGTGAAATGGTAAACATCCCCATAGCAAAGTTCTGCAATTGTTGGCCATCGATTCATTATATAAGCAATTTCTTTGCTTAGTAACTGGCTTCTTTATACCTCCTGTGCCTGACCCTAGTTCTGACCTCTGAATATTTGATTCAAACATTACCAGACTAATGCTCAAAGTGGTGCTGTGTGTTTTGGCTTATCAGGTACTGTGATGCATGTTAGTTCCCAGCTCTGGAAGAATGTCTTTTTTAAATACTCACTTATGTTCTTTTTTGTTTTGTATTGTTTTGTCCTTGTGTGCACATTTTAGCCTCAAGTCCTCAGGACTGTTTTCCAAATGCATTTTCCATCCTGTTTTTTCTTTCCTTCTGATTGCTGTCACCTGGGAGAGGAAGAATTGCATGTTTTATCAATGCTGAATATAGCCATGTGCTATATTCAGCATTGTCCCTGCTTTCTATGGAA